ATATTGGGCTGAGTGTTAAACTAGCTTTTTGAAGGATTAATAGAGGTATAATTTATAGAAGATTCACAGTACAACTCACTGGTTTTGAGAAATACTATTTTCATGAGACTATTACTATAAACATCTCAAAATGTTCTTTGATACCCTTTGTGGTTATTTCTTCTCCATTCCCCACCCCTGCCTACCACTGATTTGCTTTCTGTTCCTATAATTTTGCCTTTTACAGCATGTAATATTAGCTAAATTAAATATGTAGGATTCCACTTGTCATAATGCATGTGGAAACCATCCATCCATCCGCTTGTATGGGCTAGGAAATCAGACCTGTTAGTTGCTGAGCAGTGTTCTGCGGTTTATAGAGCAGGTAGTGTCTTCACTGTCTGGTAGAGGGCTTGGGATATTTCTTACTCTTGGCAATTTTGAAAAGACACTGATATAAACTTTTGTATATGGTTTCTGATGTAGACATATTCTCATTTCATTTGGATGGACACTTAGGAATGAAATAATGGGTTCTTTGCTAAATTTATAAGACGTCTCCACACTACTTTCCAAAATGATGAAATCATTTTGTATTTCTCTCAGCAGTGTGCAAGCACCCCAATTGCTCCTTGTCCTTGCTAAAACCTGATAATGTGAGATATTAAAAATATTCTTTAGCTGTCCTACTAAGAATATACTGGAATTTCATTGTGGTTTTCATTTGAGTTTCCCTAATGACTAAGGGTGTTGAGTGTGTTTTCATATATTTATTTGCCATCTGTGTATTCACACTGGTGAAATATCTGCGCATATCATTAGCTTCTTTTTTTAAAAAAGACATGTGTCACTTGCTTCCTTACTGTTGATTTAATTACATATTCTGGAGACTACTCCCTTACCAGATTTGTATTTGCATATATTTTATTAATTCTTGGCTTTTCTTTTCATTTTTCCTAATAGTTTCCCTTAAAGAGCAGTATTTCACCTTGAGAAATTCAATTTGTCAATTTTAATATGGTTTGTGCCTTTTTGTCCTGTCTTAAAAAAAAAAAAACCTTTGACTACATTAGATGTTTTCTCCGATGTGTTCTTCTAGAAGTTTTATAATTTCCACTTTTACCTTTAGGACAAGGATTCATCTTAAGCTAACATTTGCATCTAATGTGAGGTATGAATTGCAGTTCATGTTTTTTTTTCTTATTTTTTAAAAATATGCATGGCCAGTTGTCCCAGCACCATTTTTTGAAACATTGTTCTTGCATGCTTCATTTCTCTGGTATCCTGATCAAAAGAATCAAAGCCCTATATATAGGGCTTGTGGCTGGACTGTAGCCAATTCTGTATGTTTTTTTGTTTTGTTTTTGCTTGTGTTTCACTCACCTGACTGCTGCAGCTTTATATCAAGCCAGATAGAGTAAGTCCTCCTATTTTGATTTGAAACATGAGAAGTTTCAGGTTTCTTTGAGATTTCAAAATGATTAAGTCAAGAATACTTACGATATGAAAGTCTGGATTTCACAGAATTGAGGTATAGCTTAGTGGTAGAGTGCTTACCTAGAATGTCCAAAGCCCTGGGTTCAATCTCCAGAACCAAAGAAGAAAAAAAATAATGTATCTCAAAAGAAAGCTTTGGATTAAAACTACATCTTTCAGAATTCTTGGCCTGTAGGGGCCAGGGATTTAGCCCAGTGGTTCTGCCGCCTGCCCTGCAAGCACAAGGACCCGAGTTTGATCCCCAGTACCCAACCCCCCAGAATTCTTGGCCTGTAAGTTGCATTCAAAGCCAAGGAAATCAATAAAATCACCTGGGAAAAAATATGCATGGAGCAAAGAAAAGCTAGGATAAACCCCAGGGAATTCTAACATGTAATCTTTGCAAGGATGGAAAACTCAGTAAAGAACAGCGACATGGCCTGATCAGAAGAGTTGGAAAAACCTAAGCGTGTGTTTAAGAAGCAGATGTAGCCAGCTACATGGACAGCTGTCAAGGTTTACTAAGATGTTCCTTAAATTAGGTAGCAGTCATCACTAGCAAAAGCAGTTGAGTGAAGGAGTGTAGCAGCCAGATCAGAAGAGGGTAAAGTGTGTCAAGTGTGAATGGTAACTAGAGATGAGAGGTGGCACATGCGGGCAATTGTTAAAAATTTGGCTGCAAAAGTGAGCGTAAGGAAAACATGACCATGGCAGAAGGCTGGCAGGAGGTTACAGGAGAGCAACGCTGCAGGAAAAAAGAGATGTGTGTGTGCACAGGAAAGTGATTCATAGAAGAAAGTAATGGATGACACATGTGGTAAGTTACTGAGAGATTCTAGATCTTCAGGAATTTGAAATGGGATGAAATCCAGCAACTGATGGCCACATCTTTATTTTTAGCAAATGGGCCAAAACAAAACATGTTTTTCAATGCCAGAACACTTATAGATTCCGTGATGATAAAATGAGAAAGTTAATTCCTGATAGCTTCTGCTGCTCAGTCATGTCTGAGGCAAGGTCATCAGCCAAAAAGATAAGGAAAACAGAGAGTGTGGACATTTGATGAGGCTGAGGAAAGAGTATAAAGGTCCTGGAAATAATAGGTTTCCTTAAGAAACATGGCAAGACTGCAGGGCTCTTGAAAAGGTGTCTTGGTCTTCTCAACTCATGGGAATGAAGGGTAACAAGCCAACTTGTCCCTTCCCTTCTCTTCCCCGTTCGCTTCCCCTCCCCGCCGTACATCTATCGGGAGGACTTGGTGCATGTACTTAACACACTGATTCTTTTTCATTTCCATCCTCCACCCTTATCCTCTCTGCTTTCTCCTTCCGGCTCTTATTCCTCTTTCCATTTGCAAAAGCTCTATTTTTCTCTTGATTTTTTTCTTTGCCAGCCCTGGAAAGAGGAGCCTGGTGCAGAGACACAAGACAGGGGTTGCATCGGCTGGTGTTTATCCACCTTTTTAAGTGTGACAGCCTCCTCTGTGCACCCTTAGTAATCATTTAGTTTGAGATTTCATTTTTATTTTCATTACAATTTTAATTATTTTACACTTTAAACTTACTTTTAAATTTTTCAAAGTTTGAGAAATTATATATTTTTTAAGAATTTATTTTGTTAAACATTTTTGGGGTAAGAACATTCAAGATCTACTACTCAGCATGGTAGTATTCGCTACAGTCATTATGTAGTCATTATTTTGTACATTAGATCTTGGGGACTCATTCATGGAGCTTTACTGAAATTTTATTACCTTTTTCTACTCCTGCCTCTTCCAGTGATTTCCTAGAGCACAAACTGACTGAGAGGGACCAGCCCTTACCTTTCTCCAAGCATGCATAGTTAGGCCCTGCCTCTTTTGAGACTGCCTGGGGAGCTGAGCAGTGCTCATTCAGGCTGGCACTAATGAGTGAGTCTCAAGCCACTAAGTCCAGGAAAGACTCACTAGCTAGGCACTGAAAGGCAGAATCTATGAAGGAAAGAAAAGAACTGGAGAAAGCAAAAATATTCAACTTCTGGAGGCAAACATTATAAAAGCTACAAGGTTAAAGTTTTTTCCCACTCTGTGGGTTGTGTTTACTCTTGGTAATCTCTTTTGCTGTGGGAAAACTTTTAATAAGATGAGATCCCAGTTGTTGGTTCTTTGTAGCATTTCCTATGTGCTCTGGGTTTTGTTCATGAGATCTTTGCCTACTCGTACGTTCTCAAGAGTTCTACCTGTTCTCTTTTCCAACAGATTTTGTGTTTCTGTTTTGATGTTTAGATCTTTGATCCACT